ACACACACACACACACACACAAACACTCAAACGCACACACCCTCTCTCGCTCGTACTCACGCACAAATCGTCAACTATAATATTTTAGTGCGGTCAAAAATTTATTGCACAACTTATTGTCAAATATCTCCTTAACTATTAAACATAGATTCTCCAACTTTTGCCCAATGACGTATATCATTTTTGTCTTAACAAGTGAATACTTTTTCAAACTCCTGCGCACTGTATTCTAGAAAATTCGTTAATAAATTCTAATAAAAACTCTCAGTTGATGGTTTTTACAGATTTTAAAACGTTTACAGCTCGTGCAATACCGCTTTTAAAAGCAATTCTGGCTTTTTTTTCTAATCGCAACATCATGCTTATTGTACGTAAGTTTAGGGAACCTTTAGTGCAAAACATGTGTTCACTACAAAAATATTTTCTAGTAAGAAGTTTTACCACTATAAAGTGTCATTCGCGAGCTGTGACGTAGGTCATATGCGTATGCAAAATGTGAGCGAGAAGCGGGAAGGGCTGTGAATAATCATATTTTCCGCGTGATGGAGATTTATATTATTTATAAAAATCTATAAAGAAAAGTTCTTTAATCAAGCTTCAGTTGTGGTGGGAAAATGTGATAGAGTTAAGATAAATTTGAAACCAACTGCTGTGCAAAATATGGGTGACGTTGATTCACCCGTTAAAGAGATTTGAGGATAAGTTGCGCCACGAATTTTTGACCGCACTATAGACACACTTCTTCTGCAATAACTCATGCACAGCCGTACGTAAAGATTAGATGCAGCCTTTCGTGAATTAATTAGGGGACGACACTCATGGAAGGTATTTATTCTTCTTATTGTTGTTTCTGTTGTATTTTTCCCCCTATACTTAACTGCCGTTATCGTGTCGATGTGGTTCTCTTTACTTAAACATACAAACTTTATTTCTAACAATAAATAGAAAACTGCCATCCATCTAGAAATGAAAATATGTCGCTAGAACAAGAAGAAAATGAAACAAGACGTAAGAAAACAGCGTGTAAACACAACGAATACCCACTCCTTCATGCCCCTCCTCCCTGAAAAAACGCC